ATGGTTCCCGTCGAATACGACGGATGCATAAGGTTCTAGTACCTTCCTTTCGCATAACCGACCCTCTTACATGTTTCTCTTCCCTTTGAGTTTTATCTATATTTTCCCTGTCCTTTAGGACTAAATAAAGTCCGGTGGCAACTTTGTTGTATCTTTGAGTGTGCGATTCACTTAGGTATAATCCCGCTAGCCTCACTCGTGCAACTACAACATGAAAGATATGGATAGAAGAAAGAAAACAAATATTAGCAGCAAGACCCAACAGATGTTCCATCTAATAAAGATCCAAAGGCACGTGAACATGAATAAACTTCTTACTGTCAAAGGTAACCACTGGGAGACGAAGAAGGAACCTTTGAATCAAGGGCAAAACAATAACCAGAACCATTATGATAACAAAGGTAAGAGCTCCATTATTGAGCACCTGAGTACTCGTTCCAACAAAAACCATCATGGTAACTTTTTTCCTAACCTAAATGGGCATACTTGCTATAATGACAAAAAAAAAAGGATAGTTACTGATCATAAATACATTTACATTTCCTTGAACCAATGTAATCTCGTTTCAACTTTCAGATAAGATTTGTGTACTTGCCACTTCTTTGGCATCTCAATGTCACAAATGCATGTCTTCTATTTGAACCATTATCTGACCTACCGATTACAATACCAAACACCAATTTGGCAACCTTTGTATGGATCCATTGGAGCATATGATCACGAACAACAAATTTCTATTCATTTGTAAATTGTTTGCCAACACCTACCTTGACATCTAACAGTTTGACATCTGTAGACACAATAGATTTGGGGAAAACATTAGGATGCACCATATGTAAGGCCAATCATAACATAAAATAATAAAAAACACCAAATTCTATCTTGAACTAATCCGAAAATACATTTCATGACATTCAACAAAAATACATAAATGTATTGCTTAACACAACATTATTTTTTTCAGGCAAAATATAAATTAATGCAAGTGACGAGAAAGAAAATACATGTACATTACTTTAAATTCCAGCTTCTTTTCCTCATTTTGATGTGAAAAAATAGATAAATGTTGTTTTGAATTAGAAAAGTTGATTGAGTGTGGAAGCAGGTTTGGTAGGATTTGAAGAAGAAATGGTGTCTTCATGATGAGTGAAGCAAGCATGTAAGGTGATATTTTAATAAATTTCTCAATTGATATTTATGGAAGTACTCTTTTGAAATAGTCATTGAGTTGAAAAATTCATGCAAGGTGGTATTTTTCAAATTTCTGTTTGACAAATTTCGAACCGTGCTTTCGCTTTTGTCACCGATTTGCTAAATTAACAAATCATTGAAGAGGTTTGTCTGGAGATACACCTTCAGACTAGTTTTTGTGAGTGTGTAAAATAGGGGTACATTTCACTTAAAACGTGCTCTGATGTAAAATAGATGTGTCTGGATATATACTTCCAAAATTAGAAAGGTATATTCAAATTTTCATTGTGTGTTTCTCCACCACCAAGGGTGGGAGAATCTGCCACCCCCAAAATTAAACCAGGTACCCCATGATTTTCCATAATACCCAAAATATCCTTGCTAAAATTTAACCAAAAAAGAGCAAAAGAAAAATTTGATTGTGCACTTCAAAAATCCAATATGAATAAAAAAAATCATATAATGTATTCTAAAAATTCAGTAGTTCATTTCCGATAGAAAAAAATAAAATTAACACTATTGGATTTTTCAAAAAATCCGATAAAAACTCAGATTTTTGAAAAATTCGATACAAACTCATAGATTTTATAAAAATCCGGTAAAAACATATAATTTTTTTTATAAAAAATTTAGTAAAAACTCAGAATTTTTGAAAAATTTAGTAAAAACTCATAGAATTTTTGAAAAGTTTAGTAAAAACTCATAGATTTTTGAAAAATCATATAAAAACTTATAGATTTTTGAAAAATCTGATAGCGTATTTGAAATATCCGACAGTTTAAATCCGATAAATTTTGATATATCCGATAAAACTCATGAAATTCTAAAAAAACAATTAAAACTCATAGATCCTCAAAAACTCATAAAAATTTATGAATTTCTTCAAAAATCTAGTAAAATCTAAAAATAAAAAAAAATTCCGAAAATTTGCAAAACACAATATATTTTTTTTGTGAACACCCCGGTACCTTTTAATTTAATTGGATATCAGTACTATTAACCAATCAAATTCCATAATTCAATGCTATGTTATTTTTTTAATTTTATTTTTAAATAATTTAAAATTTCATAATAAGTTATACTAAAAGTACCGGTGCCATTTTTTTTCATATATATAAAAAATCACAAAACATATTATAATCAAAACATTGTAATTGGAGAGTGCCATATTTAATTTTGAGAGTGGAAGGAAAAATTCTCCCCAAATAAACTCTATCAATAAATATTTATCCTAAGTCTTTTGCTAGTTACACCCCAAAACTGGACATATACCAATTTATACCTAAGATTTTGCTAGTTACACTTCCTTAATTAGATACGATACCAATTTCTAACAACAAATGTTATTAACAAATATTATCCAATCATAATACCTAAGAATAGTAATAAGTTATTATCATCCACACAACATTCATGGTCAACCGTTTAAAGTGTCTCTCCTACAAAACATGATAACCTAAGAACCCTTCAAACAACATATTAATCTTCCACGTAGCACCTTAAACATGTAACAATTTGAGAAACTCACATATAAATACCATATATTGCATGAACATTAATCTTCATCTCAAACTTGAATTATCATATCTTATCTTCAACCTTTAACCTTCAATTTTCAATTCTTTCATTTCATTACATTTTTGAAAATGGATTCCCAGAACATGAGCCATCAAGCTGGACAGGCCCACGGCCAAGCTCAGGAGAAGTTGAGCCAAGCTCAGGAGAATTTGAGCCATCATGCTGGGCAGGCACAGGAGAAGTTGAGCCATCATACTGGACAAGCACAGGAGGAGTTGAGCCATCATGCTGGACAGGCACAGGGCCAAGCTCAAGAGAAGACTAGCAACTTGATGGACATGGCTAGCAATGCTGCTCACACCGCAAAAGAAACTGTTCAAGAGGTTTGAATTGAAAATTTATTAATCTCTATAAAATAGTTTTACACGGTCGTCGTCAACTAAGAAATTATTTTTATGTCAGTGTAAAATTATTTTATGATATATTTGTTTTATTTTATGTAGGCTGGACAACATGTGAAGGCAACGGCACAAGGAGCTGCTGAGGCTGTGAAGAATGCAACTGGCTTAAACCAGAAGTGATGCAATTAAGCTTAAGGAACCCTAATAATCTAGATTTATTCAGTTTTTTTGTTTTTGTTTTCTAGGGCATTATGTATAGTATGATGCTCTAAGTTTGTTTGATGCTCCTTATTAGGAGTCTTGTGAATAATTCTTTGTTTCAACAAGAGAACTATGATTTAGTTCTCTTTTTATTCATTGATCAATGAAATATATATTAGAATAATCAAGTGTTTTATCTATTTTATATGTGTCTTTTAATGATGAATAATCAATGTTGTTAGATTAATTATCAAATAACTTAAAGATTAATTATCAAATAACTTAATGATGAATATATATGTGTCTTTTAATGATGAATAATCAATGTTGTTAGATTAATTATCACAAAAATGAAAGCTTTTTTTTATCCAAAGTGAAAATGAACTCAAATTACTTAAAGATATGGATTCGAGTTTTTGGGAATGAAAAAAACTAGTTGAAAAAGGAAAACTTCACTAAAAATGACTTCAAAATTCTTAAGATCTTGAGTTTGAATTTTGGGAATGAAAAAAACGGAATTGAAAAAGAAAATTTCGCTAAAAATGATTTTAAATTTCTTAAGATCTCGAGTTGGAGTTTTCGAAATAAAAAAATCCGGAAAAAACATATAATTTTTTTTTAAAAAAAAATAGTAAAAACTCATAGAATTTTTGAAAAATTTAGTACAAACTCAGATTTTTGAAAAATCATGTAAAAACTTATAGATTTTTGAAAAATCATATAAAAACTTATAGATTTTTGAAAAATCCGATAGCGTATTTGAAATATCCGACAATTTAAATCCGATAAATTTTAATATATCCGATAAAACTCATGAGATTCTAAAAAAAAACAATTAAAACTCATAGATCCTCCAAAAACTCATAAAAATTTATGAATTTCATCAAAAGTCTAGTAAAATCTATAAAAAATTCTGAAAATTTGTGAAACACAATATTTTTATTGAATACTCTGGTACCCTTTAATTTAATTGGATACCGGTAACATTAACCAATCAAATTTCATAATTCAAATGCTATGTTATTTTTTTAATTTTATTTTAAAATAATTTAAAATTTTATAATAATTTATACTAAAAGTACCGGTACCCATGTTTACCTAAGAATTTACCATATTTCTTTTTTGTAAATATAAAAAATCACAAAAAATATTATAATCAAAACATTGTAATTGGAGAGTGTCATATTTACTTTTGAGAGTGGAAGGAAAAATTCTCCCCAAATAAACTCTATCAATAAATATTTATTCTAAGTCTTTTGCTAGTTACACCCCAAAACTGGACATATACCAATTTATACCTAAGATTTTGCTAGTTATACTCCTTAATTAGATACGATACTAATTTCTAACAACAAATGTTATTAACAAATATTATCCAATCATAAACTATAAAATGTCCATAAATCAAAATTATCAACCAAATACCTAAGAATAGTAATAAGTTATTATCATCCACACAACATTCATGGTCAACCGTTTAAAGTGTCTCTCCTACAAAACATTATAACCTAAGAACCCTTCAAACAACATATTAATCTTCCACGTAGCACCTTAAACATGTAACAGTTTGAGAAACTCACATATAAATACCATAATGCATGAACATTAATCTTCATCTCAAACTTGAATTATCATATCTTATCTTCAACCTTCAATCTTCAATTCTTTCATTTCATTACATTTTTGAAAATGGATTCCCAGAACATGAGCCATCAAGCTGGACAGGCCCACGGTCAAGCTCAGGAGAAGTTGAGCCACGCTCAGGAGAATTTGAGCCATCATGCTGGACAGGCACAGGAGAAGTTGAGCCATCATACTGGACAGGCACAAGAGAAGTTGAGCCATCATGCTGGACAGGCAGAGGGCCAAGCTCAAGAGAAGACTAGCAACTTGATGGACATGGCTAGCAATGCTGCTCACACCGCAAAAGAAACTGTTCAAGAGGTTTGAATTGAAAATTTATTAATCTCTATAAAATAGTTTTACACGGTCGTCGTCAACTAAGAAATTATTTTTATGTCAGTGTAAAATTATTTTATGATATATTTGTTTTATTTTATGTAGGCTGGACAACATGTGAAGGCAACGGCACAAGGAGCTGCTGAGGCTGTGAAGAATGCAACTGGCTTAAACCAGAAGTGATGCAATTAAGCTTAAGGAACCCTAATAATCTAGATTTATTCAGTTTTTTGTTTTTGTTTTCTAGGGCATTATGTATAATATGATGCTCTAATTTTGTTTGATGCTCCTTATTAGGAGTCTTGTGAATAATTCTTTGTTTCACCAAGAGAACTATGATTTAGTTCTCTTTTTTATTCATTGATCAATGAAATATATATTAAAATAATCAAGTGTTTTTTCTATTTTATATGAGTCTTTTAACTTTTAATGATGAATAATCAATGTTGTTAGATTAATTATCAAATAAATCACAAAAATGAAAGCTATTGTTTATCCAAAGTGAAGCTGAACTCAAATTACTTAAAGATATGAATTCGAGTTTTTGAGAATGAAAAAAACTAGTTGGAAAACGAAAACTTCACTAAAAATGACTTCAAATTCTTTAAGATTTTAAATCCAACTTTTCGAAATGAAAAAAACTCAATTGAGAAAGGAAAGTTTCACTAAAAATAACTTCAAATTTCTTAAAATCTCAAACCTCGTAATATAATATCGACTTCAACCAATTGAACTATAGTTCCCGAACAAAGGATCGTATATATTAAAATAGGTTAATTTAGAATATCAACTTCAATGTAAGAACAACCTATATAACTTTATTACAATTTTTTTTTCTTCACTTAGGATCTTTATAGATAAAGCTCATAACACTATTAGCAGAAGTGATTCCACCATCAACAGAAAGATTATGAGCAGTTATAAATCCAGATTCATCACTAGCCAAAAACAAAACAGCTTGTGCAACATCATCAGTTGTTGCACCTCTCCCTTTAAGCAAACTTGCATTCATACCAATAAACTCACTCAACTGTTCACTAGTCATATCAACATCACCAAAACACTTAAAAGCATTCAAAAGCATCTCGGACGGAACGCCGTGCGGCGAAACGCAGTTAACGCGAATCAAATGAACGCCTAGTTCGCACGCCGCGCTTCTCATTAGTCCATCCATGGCTGATTTTGACATTGTGTATGCATGTGAAGCAAATCCACCTACAGTTGCAGCTGCACTTGATGTGCAGATGATTGAGCCTCCTTTTTTTCCTTTGATCATTGCTTTTGCAGCATGTTTGATTCCATGGATTGTTCCAAAGAGATTGATTGAAAGTAAATGAGTTAGCTTTTCCATGTCAAGTGTTGTTATGCTTCTTCCTTCATGCCCTGCAACAAATAAAACCACATGAATTCGAAGGTTCGATACAAATTAATTAAGTTCGTTCGTTTTTTTTTTCATGTTCCGATATAAACACGACCTTTATTAGTTTAAATTTCGATTTTTTCAACTTATTTAAAACCGATCATTTAAAACAAGAGTTTTTTTTTTGTATTTTTTAAAAGCACGCCCGCTTGTAAAATTATTTAAAATTAGACTAAAACTCTGTATCAACGGACTCAATGCATAGATTATTAATATTTAAGTTGCCACAGGAAAATTCTATATGAACAGACTCAACGCATATATTGTTTGTTATCTCTTAAGCTGCACAACGCCAAAATTGTTTGCATTTAAGTTGTAAAGCAAAGTTCTGTATGAATTGAACTAACGCATAAATTGTTATCATTTAAACTGTCTTATAGATAAATTGTTAGCGTTTAAGTTGTCAGAGTAAAACTCCGTATAAATTGACCAAACATAAAATTTGTTACTATCTAACAGAATTTGAATCTGAGACCGTTTGAGAAGAGCACAAGTGACTCATTACACAAACTAACTCTACCTGCAATTCCTGCATTGTTGAACATGATGTCCAATTGACCTTTCCATGAAATTGAAAGGTTTATTGCTGATTCAATGTCAGTTTCTTTGGACACATCACAATGTATGTAAAGTCCATCAATTAATTCAGCAACTTTTGTTCCTTCTTCATCAAGAACATCAGCAATCACGACATGTGCTCCATTTTCTGCAAATAATTTTGCTGTGGCTGCACCAATTCCTCTTGCACCACCCGTTATAACCGCCACCTTACCTACTAGCCTTAACAAGATACCAAAACAAATAAAAATTATTGAATTCATTACATGAAATCTAATAGTTTTAGTCAAAATTTCTTATCATATTATACCTAAATGAGAGCAATATTTTTTCGGTGACGCGATGTATTTCTTGTGATATATGATCACAATGCAATTGCTGGTTAATGCGGTTGCAGACACTATCACAATAACGTAGCTGCATCATGTGATGCGATTCGAAAATTAAAATTTGAAAAGCCACTATAAATCAACAAGATTACTAACCTTTTAGAAGGTGAATTTTGAGCTTTTACATTCTGAATCGTATGTGGCTCCATTTTGTTCTTGCAATATGTATTTTTTATTTAACAATATAGATGGATATTATAATGCTTTGATCTTTATGTAAACAATGAACATGCTTTTTCTACTTAATAACTACTTCTAAATATATCTGTCTCTCTTTTTTTTTTTTTGGTTTTATCTTCTCTTGATTTCAAGTTTCTGGTTACTTTTATTTCATGCAAATGTTGTGTTCCAAATAAGAAACCTTTTTGATCGATATGTTTATTACACTTTTTATATATAATTTTTGTTATATTATATATTTTGTCAATTTTTTTATTTAAAAATGTATTAAATGAAAGATTAATTTAAATAGTTTTTCATAATTTTTTTTTAAATATTTGATTCTTTTGTTATGAATTTTTTTAATATTTTATTTTCAAAAAATTGTTAAAATGTGAAGCATTTTGAATAGTTTTTTTTTAAAATTATATTTAAAATGAATATATTTTTTGGCAACCACTGCAAAACTGTTTTAATTATCTATTTTATACAAGGCAAAGCCAATTTTCAAGCTCAAATAAGAGTAAATTAAAAAGAAATGATATTTTTACACAGATGTTTTACATATACACCGTAATTTAATACATAATACATTCTAGTTCATTTTTTAAATAATTTAGTTTGCCTTCGTTTGCATGGAAGACAATTTTGCTTTGTTAATAAATACGGTGCGGTGTAGAGAAAACGGTATCATAATAGCAAACCTGTAAATTAAATGAACTAAAAAATTTATTGCTCAAAAGAGTCCAAAATGAGAAAAAGAATCTTGGTTAAAGTGTTATTTGATTTACTTGCAAAATACGTGTACGTTTGCATTTTTTGAATTAATGTCATATCACTTAAAAATATTAAAATATTGAGCAATGTGAAATGCTAAAGATTTTTAATTACTTATAGTTACGATAACATGTTATTTTGAAAATAATATTTTTTTTGAGAGATCGATTGCATATTCACTTAAAATTTTAAGGTAATAAGTGTGTGAGTTCTTCCACTTATAAATATTCAAGTTTCTACATTCGTAGTTAATGTAAAACTATTACTTATAATACTCACATTTGTTATACTCAATATTTCCCCTCAAGTGTGAGTCTATCCACAGTCTTTCACTTTAAACGAAAACTCTTTTCATCCACACACACTTGTATTGCCGTTGATAGTCTTCAACGGGACACCTCGTACCAACCACCTGTGAGAAGTACTTTCCATACAAGCGAGTTGGTCCTTCACTCGAACCAGGTTCTGATAGCATTTATTGGGGGAGTTTTTGACTAGGGAGTAATGAATATTGTGAGACTTCTTCTTTTAGAGCAACACCTTTGTGAGAAACACACCACATATTTATTCAAAACCTTAAGGTGATAGATAGGTGTGTGGGTTCTTCCACTTATAAATATTCAAGTCTCTATATTCTTAAATAATGTTGGACTATTACTCATACTACTCACACTTGCTATACTAAAAAAGTTATGGTCTTTATGAGTTATGCATTCCTTAACTATGAACTTTAATGATTTGTAAACTAGATATCTGTGAAGAGAAATTCTTGCATAAGAACTTACATATATCTTTACTTTTAGAAACAACCAATGAAAATATGAAAAACTATTAATTTATATTTTTATCAAAATACTTCATTAAATAATAGAAATAATTAAAATTAAAATTGTCTAGAGATCTTGAATGAAAAACCATCTTACAAAACATGTGCTTGTGATATCTTAATAGACTTGTTGCTTCTTTTATGCTTTTGTGGTTGAATGTGCTTGTGATACTTTGATAGGCTTGTTGCTTCTTTTATGTTTTTGTGATTGGATCGTTTAATCGTTGTGCTTTGTATCGTTTTTTTGACTTAATAGTATATTTGATTTTTTCAAAAAATAACTAAAATTAAAATGTAAACTTTCCATTATCTTCTATTATAGAACTATCTAAAATTTTCTATTACAATTATATATCATGTATCTTCTACGTGTAATTGGATTCAAAAAGTTGGAAAAAAAAACTCTTATCATCTAAACCAAGTGCTCCTGGTTTAGTTTTTACATAGTTGTTGTCATTTTTGTTCTATAACTAAAAAAAATAATTAAAATTTAATGTCATAAGAATATTTCATGTGAATGTTCTAGTTGGATTTAACCATTTCTCACTTCTTGAGTGTGTAGCTATTAGACCATTCTATTGCAAAAACTTATTATTTCAAATTTTAAAACGCAAAATAAAAATGAAGAATTATTCAAAATTTTAAAATACAAAATAAAAATGAAAATTTTGAATCTTACATCCAACGGTCATAAGATAAAAGGAGTTGTCAAAATTAAAAGATTTGAAGGTTGACGATAATGGTGAAGCTTTAAGGAGTGAGAGTAAAACCATTCAAAAAGAAAAGATATTTAGGTCCAATTTCAAGTCTAAGTTTTTTGATAAGTCGGAGTTTAAATGTTTCACTTGCCACGAAATCAGTCATTTCAAAAAGATTTGTCCCGAAAGAGAAAGCAAGGGTTATTTTGTTCAAACTGTGATTACCACAAAGGAACATGGTTATAAAAGTGTTAGCACACTAGTGCTAAGAAGTTTAGAGACAAATAAGGATTGATTAATGAACCCATGTAACTCTTATCACATGTGTTCAAGGAAATAATATTGTGAAAGTTTGG